TTTATTGGATTAATATATACCTCAGTCCCAGAGTATTTGTCCAGTTTGACTTTTTCGAGTCAAACTGGACAAACTTTGAACTCCAATTACTCTCAATTTATATTACATATTAACATAATGAAATACAATTTTGAAAGTTATCAATACGATAAATCCAATAAAATCATTTTTATATTAAAATACTTTACGGTTTTTATTTAATTGAAGCTCAAAGTTTATCCAGTTTGACTCGAAAAAGTCAAACTGGACAAATACTCTGGGACGGATGGAGTAATATATATGTTATTTAATTATAGGTCAATTATTAAAATACTTAGATTGAAAAAGTCAAAGTTATACTCCCCGTCCTAAAACTTTCTTCCCGTTGCGCAAAACGAAGAAAAATCTCAAGTTTTTTCAATCTATTTTATTTAAATATTGGTATAGAAATAAAAAAATAAAAATACATATTTAAAAACTACATCAAAAGTTCAACAAAACAAATAGTGACAAGAATATTTTATTTTATCATATAGGCCATGAAAAAACACAAATAAATATACATTCCCGTGAAGTTGGAATAGTGCTCTGGAAAGAAAGTTTTAGGACGGAGGATGTACAAAAAAGTCAAAATATTACTTTCACCACCTTTCTTTTTCTTCTTCTTTTTCTTCTTCCTCACCCCACCCCACTAGCTCCCAGTCCCACCCCGCCAGCCCCCATTCTCTCCCTTCTTTTTCTTCTTCTTTCACCCTCTTTCTTCTTTGGGAGTGGCGAGGGAGAGGTCGTGGAACAGAGTGGAGACCTGTGACTGGATTGATTCGATCTCCGGGTACGCCGGCGCCGGCGGCGACTTGTGGTGGTGCTCCAGCAGCAGCGTGTGGACTGGGTCTCCGCCCCTTAGAGTGATAATCGACCGGAGAAACGTCACAAAACGCATCGGAGACCCGTGGTTTTCCGATGGAGATGTCGGCATTTCCCGGCAGCTCCTCCGGTCAATTCTTCCGAGACGTCGAATGGTTTAGGGTTTCTTATTTGTCATCAACAATTTGTATATCTAAATCACAACCTACCAAAATCAAAGTCAGTGTTAAAGTTTTTGAGGTTATATATGCCTAGATGGATAAAACAATATGCTAATTTTTTCTTTTCTTTATGTTTAGTTTTTTTTAATGAAGAAGAAGAAAAGGGGTGAAAGAAAAAGAAAAAGAAGGGAGTGGGAGGGGAAAGAAGAAGAAAAAAAGAAGGGAGAGAGTGGGGGATGGCGGGGTGGGACTGGGAGCTAGTGGGGTGGGGTGAAGAAGAAGAAATGGAGCTAGTGGGGTGGGACTGGGAGCTAGTTTTTTTTTTAAAGTTCCTTGTTTTGTATTCCATTATATGTAACTTTATTATACACTTTCCAAAATAAAGCAAAGCGGATTAGCGTACTCTGTTTGGCCTGCAGAATTTACCAGAAACGGAGTAGGCTACTCCGTTCCGCTCATTTAAATACCCAAACGGAGTAGCCAACTCCGTTCCAATTATTTAATTAGGAAACGGAGTAGCCAACTCCGTTCATTGTTTTTTTTTTAAATTTTTTTTTAAAATGAAGTATTTACTTTATTTCCTATATTTTTAAAAACATAAAAAATTATAAAAATCAACAAATTATTGAAATATAATGAAACAAAGAATCTACTAACAATAAAATTCATAGTTAAAATAAATATTTATTGACTTTAAATAATGCACCATACACCGAATTAAAAATAAGAAGTAAATTACAACAAATTTATTGATAGAGTACNATATATATATATATATATATATATATATATATATATATATATATATATATATATATATATATATATATATATATATATATATATATATGAGAATTAGGTAAATTTCATACTCCGTAATTGATTCTTTATAATAAGGGATATTTCTATTTTAGTCCTCTATTATGAAATATTACCTTCGTGGTCTTTTTTTATTGATATTTTTCCATAAATAGTCTTTTTTGACCTTCTGTCATGTTGGTGTTAGTTTGAAGACTAAAAGTGTAATTTTACAATGATCACATATCTTTCTTCTCATACACAAATCTAGAGGTCGCTCCTGATACATCGTTTGTGAATTACATTTACTTATCGTTTGTGAATTACATTTCCTTTCTACTATAACCATAGTTCGTTTACAGATGTGGTCTTTCGTCAGAATCTCAATCTACAATCATAGACATTATTACTGTATTGTCCGTCTAACCGACATAAGGTTGACGTTAAATTAAACTTTTAGGCATCAATTAGACACTAATATGGCCGAAGGAAAAAACTAATTGTGAAAAAGTATCTATAAAAAAAGACTACGAGATAATATTTGATAATAGAGGACTACATATGAAAAACATCCTCCTATAAAAGATCAATTATGAAATTTACCCCCTTACAAAAAAGAACTCATGATAATTTAATTTTATTTACATTATTTTTTATTTCAAACACAAACATTTTTAAAATTATAAAACATTATAAAGAAAAATTTTTCAAAAAGAAAATAATAAAAAATGAAGGGAAAAATAGGATAGTGAACTCTAATACTCATCTGATTTAGAAAATAGATACTAATGCATCATGTTCATTAGAAAAATGAATGGAATATAATCAAAGTGAGTGCGAGTGAAACATTTCAAATTCGTAGGAAATTTAAAAAATAATGGAAGAGGTATTGATGTGGGCAGAGCCGGCCCTGACATTTTATAGGTTTTAGGCCAATAAAAAAATTACTTCTCTTATACTCCCTCTGTCCCGGAAAACATGAGAGTTTTGGTTTTGGAGAGGGATTTGAGGGGAGTGTATTTTGGTATTGAATTTCCAAAAATGTCCTTTGATGTGTTGAGTAAAAGTATAATTTGATCGATAGATTATTATTAAAAAAGTATAATGTGATAGGTAGAGTATGAAAAAAGTAAGGGGTAAAAGTGACTTTTTAATAGAAATGAGAAGTGTTTTTTGGGACGGATGAAAAAAGAAAGGAGAAAGGTTTTCTGGGACGGAGAGAGTAATTATTTTTTAAAAAGAGTAATATCACTTGATGAATTAAAATGATTGAGTGTAGGAGTGAGCATATTATTCGAACCGACCGTCCAACCGATGTTTAAAAACCGAACCGTCCGAAATTTTCGGTTTCAGTTTCGGTTAGTAAGGCTCCAGAAATTCGGTTAGTTCGGTTAATCGATTCGGTTTTCGAGTTGGGTCTTGAATTAGTAAAACCGACCGAAAAACCGAACAAAATCACCCAAGAGTCCAAAAGTGAAATGCCCATTTGATTCAATCCATCCAAAGGCCCAAAAGTATTAACTAAAAGGAAAAGCCCAAAAGTACAGAGAGTAAGAGTACAGAGTAATTTCATTTTGCCTTAACCCAACTCGGCAAACCGGCCAAACACCATTTCATTCTTCATCTTCCGATTCCACTATCATCTCCGTCACCCACTCGTCGCCGCCATCTCCTCTCTCATTGCCGGCAACCACCAATGTCACGAACGGGACGGAGGCAGTAGATGACGTCGTCAATAGCCTCGAACTCGAGACGACCATTTCTCTACTCGCGAAGGCAAAAAGGTAATTTTTTAATGAATTTTGGGATTATGTCATTATATGGCTGGCAGCCTCGCAGTACCCCTGGGAAATTGCTCTTTTTTGTGCATTTTGAAGATTGAGTGGTATTAGTTTTTTTGGCAGAATCAACCTCAAACCCAATTCTCAAATTATTTTCTTGTAATGGTAATATACAATTCGGTTATAAATAACCGACCGTAATAGTTCGGTTTAATCGGTTATGCAAATATAACGGTTCGGTTTCGGTCGGCTTTTGTAAACCCAAAAAAAAATCGGTTAGTTCGGTTTTGGACCGAAACCGACCGAACCGGCCCGATGCTCACCCCTAATTGAGTGTGTCATATTACTATTATTATACTTTATGTATTTACTTAAAATTGAAAGCTTAAGATCCTAAACTCATTGTTTTTTTATAATAATATATTACTAGTACTATTAGAGAAAGAATAATTATGGACCTCCTTATGAAATAGGCCCTAGGTGGCAACCCCATATGCTTCCTCCCGAGGCCGGCCCTGGATGTAGGTTGGTAGAGCTGACAAATCGGTTACTCAGGTAAGATTTGGGTTCAGTCACTTCAAATTTGAGTCACTTTGGGTTCAGTCACTTCGAATTTGGGTTACTTCGGGTTTAAGTCTATTCGAGTTCGGGTTGAGAACTGTATGTTTATGACCAGCGTCATCGGGATCGAGTCGACCCAACGAGTTATGGCTATGGTTTTTTAAAATTTTAAATTCATATTAAGACTTTCATTTTTCATTGAATAAATTTAAAAAATATAAAAATATGTATTAATTTTATTAGATTATTTTATTTTGAACTATGGGTTTTTATATTTATAAATCAATATAGAGAATTAAAGAAATGTATAAGTTTAGGAAAAAAAAAGATAATGATGCAATATCATTAAAAAAAATTAAAAATATAAATTCATACACTGAAAATGAGTAGTAAGAGTAAAATATAATTATGACCTTATTTTTATAACATTATTCTCTCTCCGTCTATGAGTATTTGTCTACTTTTGACTTTTTCAGTCCAAATTGGTAAACTTTGACATCAAATTAAATAAAACTGATATTTGATATTGATACAAAAATATTTTTATTAGATTAATTATATCACATATTTTTAAAATATTATTTTATCTAATTAATAAGTAATATACATTATTTAATTCTAGGTCAAAGGTTGAAAACTATTGATCGAAAAAAGTCAAAAATAGTCAAAACAGTTTATCGAAAAAAGTCAAAACAGATGTAGTATTTCATAGTAAAGTAGTACCCGGAATATATAATTTTGAAAAAAATTTACCCTAGCGGGTCGATAAAATCAAATTCGAATTCAATCAATAAACCCAATGTTTAGGGTGTAGATCAACTTCGAATTCGATCAAGAAACCCAATGTTTAGGGTTGGGCTTTTTTTGGATAAAAATAGGTCTAATCATTGGGATGTATGGGTTGGAGATGTTTGGCCGATGGAGAAGTGTACGGGCTGGGGAGTAGTCGCAATTACCAAATGAGGGTTAAAATGTGTACGGACCCGAGAGCTTAAATAAAAGAGAACTCAGACGATAGAATTGCACCACGGAGACGGCCGGAGCTCTGCCACCTCCCGCCGGAATCTATGGCTACATTCACAGCGAGTCAGCCGGTAGGTTTTGAATGTTAACTGTTAGTTCTGTTTTGTTACGGTTCAATTTTGTTCATGAAGATGTGTGTTAATTGTCGATTTTCTTACTTAGTAGTAATCCATCAATAGTCATTAGTCAATTAAATTCTTACTTGTATGAATGTATAAAGTTTTTGGCTGTCCAGAATTAGGGTGAGACGGTAATCATAGACTCTGGGGAATTACAGTTTTTTTTGGGTGCTAGTTTGTGCTATCATTTTTTTCTTTATGAGTTTATTTGTTCAATTTTATCCCTTCATGCCAAAAAATAATCTGAACCAAAAAAGGAAACCAAATTCAAAAAAACCAAACTGTTTTGGTTTGGTTTCAGTTTCGGTTTCGGTTCTGGGCTTTGAAAACCAAACAGAACTGTTTAAACCAAAGCGTACAAAGAATTTTTGAAAAATATTGTTTTAGAATGCGTTTCTTTTCTCTTACTCTTTATTTTGGTCATACATTGTTTTGATAGTGATTTTCTCTTTAGAAAATTCAAATGAAGTGGGAGTTGGAAGGGAATAACCAAATTGACTCAAAATTTTCCAGATAATGAAAAAAACATAAATGTTGTATTATTGCATTTCAAGAATTCATCTGTTCAAATATTCGATTCGAAGATCGTGTTTGCTTTGTCATTGTCCTTACTATTTTTAAAATTTGATTTATTTTTTAAAAGTTACTTTTTGTTGCATTTATAAGGTTTTGTTGTTCGGTTTAATAGTTACTTTGTTGATGCATCATTAAAAAAGTTATAACTTATAACGTTGAGCCAATTGTTTTTTTTACAAAAAATTGATTTACTTTGTTGAAAAAAATATTACTTTTTCCAAAAAAGAACATGATTTTGTTATTGCTTCGTCGAGTTAGGGTCTGTTCTTTTGGGTTGGAAAATTTAACTTCCAACCTTTTCTAACTCCTTCGAGCTTCTTTCAACTTCTTCCAGTTTCTTCCAACGACTTTAAAAATTATTTACATATGACGAAGATGCAATGTTACAAAAAGATTGTCTTGCTGAAGGGAACGAAGAAGCTGATGTGCTTCAACGAAAGAGAAGAACCAGAACTGAGAGAAAAAAGTTAGATTTGATTGTATTACTTTCTTGATTGAAGATTACATCTCTAGGCATGCACACACACACACACACATATGCACACGCACCCACACTTAACAACCCCTTAATAACTTCCTAACAAACTACGTCTAAGTGTCCTATCATTGCTCCCTTCTTACAAACAACATTAACAATGGCAGATGGAAACAAAATAGCTTGGCAAAATGCTTGTGACCCATCAAATTGGAATATTCAAACAAAAGAACTTGTCTCAGTTGTTTTGCTGACTCCACTGGGAAGAAATAAAATACCAATTTCCTCTCACTCCCTTCTCGCTGTCTTATCTTTCAAATTCTCTCGGTTTCGGGCTCTTCTTCTTCTTTGAAGAAAGCGGATGTTTTGATGACTCCTTTGGGGAGCGTATACAGTGGTTGGAGACATTGAGTCCAGTTGGTTGGAACTTCAAAGAAATGATTATGAAGTTTGTAGTGAAAGGAGAAAATACCGTATTGAAAGGAAGGCTGAATGGAAGAATGAGGGTTGTAGAAGAGATACTAGCTGCAAAATTATATAACAAACCAATGCAGTTTTGCTTCTTACAATTCTTCACAGGGAAATCAGAGATGAAGCCTAGCATGGTACAATGCTGTGGAAACATTTCCTCTCTCTCTCTCTCTCTCTCTTCTCTGAAAATATCTTCCCCCTCTCCCCCAAAATATCTCTCATTTTTGTTAACCTCCATTGGAGAATTCTTACAGGTTTTCAAGCTGTAACATACAATAACATCATATATCCAAATTTATAAATTACCACCTCAAACATGGACAAAAATGGTTTTTTTTTTCATCCAAAATTAGTTTTCTTACATATTTATTTGGGTATTCATTTAATTGAGTGATTTTTTGCAACCTAATTTTTTCATACATTTTTCAATTCATTCCAGTTTTTTCCAGCTTCTTTCCATTTCTTCCAACCATTTCTATTTTCTTCCAACATCTAACTTTAGAATTTCAACAAAAAAGAACATGCCCTTAGTGTTGTTGCAATTTTTTTTGAAACTTATAAATTTTTATTTTGAAAAACCAAAAAAAAAACAAAAAAAACTACACAAAACCAAACCGAATCACCAATGGTTTACATATTTTTGCTGCGAAATCGAATGCAACCAAAGCACTACCTTACCTTCCGTTTTGTCTTTGATTTTGGGTGAAAATCGAATCCAAGCCGAGGGTCTATGGACTATGGCAAACAGCCTCTCCACCTCACATTGGTGGAGGTTACATCTTATCCTCTCCAGACCCGAGATAACAATGAGAAGGGAATCGCGATGATCAGTGCAACCTCTTTAAAACATTTTTTATATATTCAAAAAAATCTCTTAGCAAATATTCACTCCCATGGAGCCAAAGATTCACTATTTGTTGGCTTTAGGGTACGACAGAATAAAGCAAAATGGCTCTACGCTTCTTATATAGTGAAGTAGTAATTAGTCAATGCAACTCCCGGCATTCATGATGGGTAATCTCGTAACAATGGGTTAGGCTGCATACATCCGACCCCCTTACCTCACAATGGGTGGGACTACCGGCAGCCTTTGCAACACTAGGATAATGTTGTTGTTGTGGTAAGTTGTAACAAATATCTCTTGGCAGGAGTATAATTGCGATAAAATAAATTAAATTCCAAAACTTTGCAATAAAACCACATTTATAAAGAATAAATATGTAATAACAAAATTCATGTGTTTAAGGAGCTTGTATTTTTAAATTTATATCAATGGCTTTAATTTATCACATGCATATCATATACTGATGTTGTTTTTTTACATCTATGGCACTATTCTTCCCCGTAGTTTTCGAGCATATTTAAATAACATCATTTACTCTATGCAGCTTGGTAGAACTAGGGCTGTCACTCTAAAGCGCAAATACGAAGACGGCCAACCCTCTGGTGTCAAGCGGCATGCTCAAGAAGTGGCTTCAATCTGTAACTAATTTACCTTTTTTTTGCTTTATTCTCTTTCCCCCCTCTTCCAACCTATGGCTTTAGCCAATGTTATGAAAACTGGACCTGCCGGTGCTGGTCTAACCCAAATCTGGTCCAGTTTGATTGTTAAATTCGTTTTTTTATAAAATCATCCAAACCCGACAGAACTGGCGGACCACGTGAACTGAGTAGGCCCGACTGGTCCATGGGTTTGGTTCAAAAGCACTCTTCCGTTAATTTTTATTTAAAGAAATGGAATTTGAGGCGTGCAAGTGTTGAACCCCTGACTTTTGATTCCACTTTTTTTTAGTTGTTTAAGGAGCCATGGAATGTGGTAAATACTACCTCTTTCCCTGAGTATTTGTCTAGTTTTGACTTTTTTCGGTCAATTGTTTTCAACCTTTGAACTATAATTCAATAAAATACATATTGTATTTTAATTAAATAAAATAACATTTTGAAAATATTTGATACAATAAATCTAATAAACTTTTTTTGTATCAATATCTAATACCGGAGTATCATTTTTATTTAATTTGAGGTCAAAGTTTACCAATTTTGACCGAAAAAAGTGAAAAGTGGACAAATACTCAGGGACGGAGGGAGTATATTAGATTTCTAATATTTGGGTTGTGTAAATTTTAAAAACCTTCCAATTATTTAGAAAAGAGAATTATGTTTGTGTAACATATTTATTTTATGAACTTCTAAAATAGTTCAAGAAAAGAAATGAGCATTATTATTATTTACCTAAAAATAAATATAAATAATTAATATTTTACACCTTGAAATTATTTTCATCTTTAAAAATGAAGTACAGATAATATTTACTAATTTTAAGTTAATATTCTACAATTTTTTGTTCTTAATTTTTTCTCATTTCAATCAACTAAATATATGTTTGAAGTACTACATTGTATTCCTTTCGCCCCACAAAACAAACATTTCCTGTTTGAAAAAAGGCAGGCTTTAATAATGTGTAATTTTGGTTTGTTACTTTCTAACTTCTACTCCCTCCGTTCCTTTAAACACTTTCTATTTTGACTTTGGGCCAAAATAAGGAAAGTGTAATTTTAGTTGACTTTCCAATTTTTCCCCTGATGTGATGGGTAAAAGTAAGATATGATAGTTTGATTATTAGTGAAAAAATATGATGTGATAGGCAGGGTGTGAAAAAGTAGGGGTAAAAGTGGTTTTCTAATAGAAAGTGGAAGTGTTTTAGGCAATTGGAAAAAAACGAAAGGGGAAAGGGTTTTATGGAACGGAGAGAGTAATTTTCTATCCAACACATCATATCCTACCCTTAAATAACACCAAAATTACATTTTTTGTAAGGGCAAACTTAGAAAATAACACCAAAATTACATTTTTTTTAAGCCCGCCTTTTTTGAAACATGAGATGTTTTGTGGGACGCAGGGGTATATAAAAACACATTTACTAGTAGACATGGCTTATCGAAACGTTGACCGGGTCGTTGATGTGGTTCCGACCAAAGAAGCCTTGACCCACTTCCTTCTTTGGTTCGGTGTCCGGTCAGATTTTCAGAACATTGGTTTTATCTGAACTCGGTGATATTTTTTGATGAACCTAGTAGGTTCAAGTTCAAAACTGTGCTCTGCAGCTGGTAAGGGAAAGTATTCCCAACATCATCATCACCATGCTGATGAGGGTAAGAATATAACAAAGAAGAGTGGTAGTCATCGACCCTCCAAATTCCAATGCGCTATTTGTTTTGAGGAAGAACCAATGTCTGATGGGTTTGAAATCAAGGTGTGTCATCACGTCTTCTGTGCTACCTGCATGACCACGTACGTTGCCACCAAGATACGCCAAAACGTTGTGAAGGTCACATGCCCAACCCCAAAATGTCCCTCGGAATTGAAACCAAGACATTTGCAGACCATTTTGCCTCGTGAAGTTATCGATAGATGGGAAACCGCAAGATGTGAATCCACAATTGCTGAGTCTCAGAAGACTTATTGCCCCTTCAATGATTGTTCGGTTTTGTTGGTGGATGACGGAGGGGAAGTTGTGACCAGTGCCGAGTGCCCGTCATGTCACCGGCTGTTTTGTGCACAGTGTAGGGTTCCATGGCATGGGATGATGACCTGTCGAGAATTTCAAAGGAAGAAGAACATGAACAAAAATGAACAAGATTTGGATAAAAAGTTCTTCAAGCTGGCCGAAAAGAAAATGTGGCAAAAATGCCCAAGTGCAAGATGTTTGTGCAGAGACGAAGTGGATGTGAACACATTAAATGCAGGTTTGTAATTAATGATGTATTTGTATACATACTTTTTCATACAAAGTAGCATTTTCATTAGAATACAGTATATAATACTCCCTCCTTAAATAAGTGGAGGTAATTGTGGCATTTTAAATGTTAGAAACTTAGAAAGGACAATCAAAAGATCTATAGGGGAGAAATAAAAAAAAGATTAATGGGAAGATCTATGAAGGACGGAGAGAGTAATTAATAAGCTCTTGTGGTAATGTGGTTTTTGTAGGTGTGGAAGAAGCTTCTGCTACCACTGTGGGGATAAATGGTATTCTGGACATATATGCAAGAAACATCGTCCTTCTTCTTGAAGCAGGGCAGGGCAGGGCAGGGCAAAATATAGGAGATTTTGTGTTTTAGAATTTTCAATTTGTTAAATATGACAGATATATTACTCTTATTATTTAGAATATCTGGTTATCCTGTTTATCTAGACTTTACCTCCTCCCCGTGTATGTATAAATACCCCGACATATGATGAATAAAGTATTCAGTTCACAACACGTTATCAGCAGTTCTTGGGTTCTTCCTTTTTTTTTCTTTTCCCTCAGTCCACTGACGCCAACAAAAAAAAAGATCCATCCATTTTTTTCCGATTTCTTCTATTGTCGACCACCCGTTCCCTCCGCTTCCATCGCTTTCAGTCGCCGATCACCACCACCAGTGTTTCCTTCTTTTTTGGAGTGCACGGACAGAGCCGGCAAAGAGAGAAGGCAGAGAACATCGAAATTGAATCCCGCCGCTAATCCAGGTATTCCCAATTTTCAGAAAGTTACAAGTTCAAAGATTTCAACTTGAAATTGAATATTTCGATCCTAATATGTTGATTATCATGAAATTTGAAAAATTTGCAATCCAAATTTGTGCACGATCAGGAAATCTGAACCTTGTTTTATATATATATAATAAAAAATATTGTTAATATATTTTCCGATCAAAAAAATTCATTTGGATGTCAATTTTGTGAGTGGGTGGCTTTGATGGAAAGCATTTTGCTTGAGGCTTCACGGTGACATTAAAAAAAATGGAATTTTTAGGATTACCAGAAAAGACATGATGTGCCATATTTAATTATATGATTTATATGCCTGACGCAATACATCTGATAACTTTAGCACAAGAAATTGCCCCTCATATAGTCTCAACCATACCATTTAGAAATAATAAATTATTGAATGATAAATGAAATATTGATGTTGTCGCAATAATAAATTATTGAATGGTAGATTATTAGATGGTCTGTCATTGATCTGTGTGTAGTCCTGTTTAAAAAAATACAACAGACCTCTTCCAAAACAAAAAAAAATTCTATACATTCAAAATGTAAAATAGAAGTTATACTCTGGTCTGTGTGTTATTTTTTGTTGTTGTTTGCTCTTGCTTTACTTTCAAATTTTTTTTTAACTTTTGAAAGTTATCATTAGTTCTTGGTCATATGCCTATAAATCTTGAAGTGTTGCTTCTTAAAGTTGTGGTTGTACACAAACATTGATACATGTGTTCATGTGAAAAAAAATGCATATTTTATTATTTGATCTCAAAGTTGATTGTCCCCAAAGTAAATTGAAGAAATTGGACTTGTAATTCACCAATTGGCAGAAGTGTATTGGTCTAATGATTCATATTTAAATTAAATTGTTTTATTTAATTTTTTCACATGTCCTCATATTTCATTTTAATATACTCCAGAGTAATACGGAGTATATTGCAATAAGTTTATGTGACCAATATCTGATTGCATATTATATTAAGTTTGGGATTATAAAATAATGTTTGGGTTTTTAATTTCCCTTTTGATGTGGTAGTATAGAAAGTTAAATATTCTATATATATACACTACATATTTCATTACATTTTTGTACTTTGGTATGAAATATTTGTGAAAAAAAATGCATGTTTTATTACTTGATCCCAAATGTGATAAATGTTTTTGTTGTTTCGTATATGAGAAATACGGAATAGATGACATATAAAAGAGAATTTCAATTGAAGTGTCAAATTTTATCCTCAAAGTAAATCAAATTTGATATCTATTCTAAAGTCCATATTCTCTTAAAGAAAATAACAAAATAGATTTTTTTGCTCATGCATTTACCATTTTCCAGAAGTAAAATGGCCTAATGATTATTTTTTTAAATAAAAATTGTTCAATGCATTTTCTCATTATGCAATGATATTATATTTTAATGTCAATTACTAAGTTGCAATAAAATTTGTGTGTCCAATATATGTAATTGCATGTTATATGTGGTTTGAGATTGCAAAATAGTGTTCGAGAATCTAATTTCCTCTAAAGTGGTAGTGTAAGAAAAAGATTCATATACCCCATATTTGGTTACATTTTTTTTCCATTGTTAGGAAAGATTTTTTTTGAAAAAAAATCATGTTACATATTCATTCCCTAAAGCGAGTGAAAAATTGATTGACCTGCATGAATATAATAGACTATCACAACTATTGAGGTTATACATATGGACACATCAAAGTCAATATTATGGTCACATAGAATTACATTTTTTAACAATGACTATTTGAATCTAAATATTCCTGAAGAATATTGAATTCTGAAAATAAATCCTTAAGATATATAGTCTCCTAAATTAAATAAGAGTCATCATGTTCGTCAAACACAATATATGGGTATATGAGATACCTAAGGTCTTATAATATTTAATTACCACCTGAAGTGGCTTATTTTTAGTAAAAAAAAGAATCTCGTTATACATACACGTTTTGATATTTCAAGACCTTTGTTCTAATCTATATATGATTCCTCATCAATATTCCTGAAGAATGATGTAGTAAATATATTATAATCAAAGGAGTGATTATACATATTATATTTTTTAGATGAAAGAGATTTTTTTCTCTTGTAATTAAAGAAGCTAGTGTAAATATAATTTTCTTGTTATACAAAACTTATAGAAAGCTCCAGAAGAGCATTGCAGAATAAGAGCTGCATAGTAGAAGTAATAAAAGTCTCATAAATATTGAATATTTTGAGAGGATAACTATTGTCCTGCATTGATGAATATTCTGTTGGTATTGACAAATCCTTATTGTTTAAGGTTTCTCTATTAATATTTAAGATACCAATGGAAATGAATATTACATGACACTTGATCGAGACTTGTTTTCACGTAAACCAGAAGTTTACTGAACCAATTTTTATTTTAAACATAACCAATTAAATTATCACAATTTAGTTTGTGATGTGAAGAAAAAATCATTAAAAACTCAAGTGAGTACTATCTGAAGGACTAGAAGTTTCTGTTATTATAAGGACCATAAGATCCTAGAGTCTTGTTCTCATTAGAAGATTATTATGAGATTATTACTAATGAAACTTGAGATTCATTTCATACATATTTAGAAATTGTTCAAGAATAATAATTGATTGGGCCCATCAACTATTCGTGATGACAATTTATATGCTTTATATAATGCATCGTTATATTTGTCATATTTGTTGACAATTAACTCGTAACCCGAAGTTTATGATATTTGTCCATATCTTATATTATGGACACAATTTATAGGTTATGTTGAACATCATTAGTCACAAAAGAGCCTGCAGCTCTAGTTAATATGCAAAGTGCATCGAATTAGTGGCTATACTTTTGATTATGAGAACAAATCATTTTATACTAGATTTTGAATCTTCATTTATGTGGTAATTATTTGGAGCGGATGCTTAATGGGCTTAAATTAAGATAAATTATCAAGACACCATAATGGTAGGTAGACACCGAGAGAAGGTTTTTGAAGGAGTTGAATGGAAGATAATTTCCATGACATATGCTAGATTATATATATTCTTCAATTAAAGAAGATGTGAACCTGAAGTTCAAGAAAGAAGATTGTACTAAGATATTGCAAATAAAGTGCTCATCATGAATTTTATGTGTCAATTGTAAACACTTTGGTTAGAAGTGAATTTTTGATATTTTCTCAAACATAAAAAAAATGGTCTTATTATAAGGAACCTGTAGTTCCAACATATGAGATACTGAAGTTCTCCTTCACATGTATTTTATATATATACACATGTTCATTTTTATTAATCCTTCCCTATAAATAAAATGTCAAATCTTCAAAATTTTGAGTTTCTTACACTTGATATCTCCTGAAGAGAAACAAGTTTGTCCATTCTCACAATATTTGATTGTTTGATTGTGTGCCTTATATGCCCTCTCCCCCACAATGCGTTCAATATAATGTAGAAGACTGTGCATTGACGTTGGCTATAACTTCTTGTCTATTGTTAAATGTTTAGAGTTTTTGACAGGAGATATATTAACAACATAGTAAGTTGATTGTCAATTTTATGATGAAATATTCCCAGTCTTAGGGGGAGACAAGAATAATGAAAGACTGGTAATACAAGAAATTATATGAAATGCATCATTGTAAATTTTCGACTCCTGAAGTGGTCAATATCATTTTGAAGTCTGATTTGCAAAGAAGAGCAAATAAATTACTAGATGCATTCACATATATGAGCAGAGTGACAAAGTTACGTATACCAGCATCTTATGCATCGCTCGATTTAAGTTAGTCCCAGAAGTGACTATTGAACAGTTTATGTGGGAGAATAATTGGTTTCAAAGATAAGAACCCACGAAAATGAAGATAGCAAAAATGCTATTAGTGAAACCACATACATGATTATGAGTGAAACCTCAGAAGAGGTAAATGTCCTGGAAGAGACTAATATGATTCCAGAAGAATGAGTTTCCTGAAGAAACATCGCTACCGAAAGAAAATGAGATCTCTATTAATTATGTACGAGACTGTACAATATGGAATCAAAATGAAACACGTGTTAATGATATTCTTGCATATGCTATGGCAATGGATGTAATCAATAAAAGAGATTACATGCCTAAAACTCAAAGAAGTGTACATGTAGATATTACATAAATGATTTCCCAAATGTCAAAAGACCTTGAAGGTCGAATATAAGTCACTCGATAAACGAAATATTTTCGGACCTGAAGTCTGAACACCCATAGACGTCAAACCAATAGGTTATAAATGAGTGTCTGTAATAAACAGAAATAAAATGAATGAGATTGTGCGATATGAAATACTACTTGTAAGGCAAGAGTTTTCCCAAATCCCAGGAGTTGATTATAGGAAAACGTATTCTCCAGTAGTGGATGAGATATCCTTTTAGAATTTTAATTTGCCTCGCAATCTGAAAAGGACTTCAAATAAATGATATGGATGTCGTTATAACATAATTATAAGGGACACTTGAAATTGACATCTGTGTGATAACAATCCTAGAAGGATTCAAATGCCAGAAGCAATAAAATTAATACATTGAGATATGTGTGAAGAGATCGTGGAATGGTCTCAAGTAATTTGGTCATATGTGGTATAATTGACCCAGTGAATATCTCGAAAAAGAAAGATACAAATTTGAAATCAACCTATGTGGTGTCATTAAAGGATTGCTCTCAATATTCATTATTATAGCAGTTTACGTCGACGTATAAATATCATTAGATCTCCTGAAGA